CCAGCCATGAACTGACCAAGTCCCTGGGGGAATGTCATTGTTGAAATCACAAACGTAACRAGAGCTGGATAAATAAATCGGCTGCAAAACAAAACAAACATTGAAAAACATTTTCTCACATACTTGGCACAATACCAGAAGATAGCACTGGGATATCACATGAAAGATAAACTAGCAGCACACTTACCTGCTTTGTAGGAACTTAGCTATTTTAGTTTTTCTGTGGTGTCTCATTATATTGACAATCTTTCTGTGAGTGTACACAAAAAGTGCTCCWCCAAAACCACAAGCAACTCTGAAAAAAATCAAGTTTTCCAATTTCAGTAGACCATTTCACAGATCCCGCGGCTCAACCTCAGCCTCGTCAGCGTGTAATATATCCTTTAGAAATTGCCTACAACCTGTGAAATTTTTTAATGTTTCAATTGTTCGTTGACGTGTAAATTCCTTTCATTACTGCGGACTGTAGCCAAATTCTAAAGAATAATTACACGCTGACGAGGCTGAGGTTGAGTAACAGGATCCGTGAAATGGCCTATTGATCTTATCCATCTAGATATGATATTTTTCCATTTCAGACCACATATCATTCTCTTGATAATAATTTGATGTTATAAAATATTTGAATCATATCCATATTCATGAGTCATCTGATGCATAACTGTTAAACAAAGAAATGATTTCTCTAGGGAATGACAAATTTATGTTTCAGGTACTCATTTTATTTACACAGGGTTCGTGCGGTAACCACTTAAAATTCAAGGACTATTCAAGGAGTATACAAGGACCCAAAAATGAATTTTCAAGGAGTATGTTCAGCTAACTATGCCAAGGTTTTACACGGTGGTTGCACATGGCCAACTTTCAGATTTTCTGATCTTTCTGACTAGATCTATTTCAGAACCATGCAAGTATAAATGATCAAAGCAAAAATTCAAGGAGTTTTCAAGGAGTTTTGCTAAAATCTTAAAATTCAAGAGCTTTTCAGGTGCCCTTGAAAACGTGAATTAAATTCAAGGAGTTTTCAAGGAGTTAAAGGAGTAGCACGAACCCTGTTAACAGTGTGAATCGAAAAACCGTGGGCACCTAGAAGTATTTTCCATAGAGCGTTTTCACGTGCGTCACAGTGGCCATTATGGGGTACCAAAACAATGTATTTTCTATCCTCCGGGAATTGAACTCTATTTTTATGCAATTACTGTGCTTCCTATTGACTTCCTAACCACAAGATAACAAGAACGCTTCTGATCGGTTTTTCGATTAGCACTGTAATGGCAATTTCAGCTGATAACAAAGTTTTTTTTAAGTTTTTTTGGGGGGGGGGGTCGAGTGACTTACCCAATCGATCCAAATGCAATAAACTCTTCCACATCAAATGGAAAGTCAATTCTGAAGTTAGTCTTGAATAARGCTGTGATTGTTTCTATAATAAGAGGACAACACAATAAAATAAGTTTCAGATCATATCTTGTGTCATAAATGTATTTATTAAAAAAACTGTTATAAATCTTGCATTCTGATTGGCTAATTACCGGTCAATGAAAACATTCTGAATTTAGAATGACARAGATGAAAAGATCAAACAGTAGACAGCATTACCTTCATCATGGACAAAAACAGCAAGTAATCTGAATGCAAAAGCACCACACACTGCAGAATAAAATCCCCTCCAGTAGTTCCGTACAGCAAAGTATGTAGATGTTACCTCAATACTGAATAACACTCCTGTACAAATGATAATAACACTTTTTTTAAATACACTGTATGATGATACTGTGAACATCACTGAATAGTGAAATAGACTCAAGTTGTCTTACAGTATGACAGTCACGTTGCTTCATAGTAGCTATATCATAGTGTAGAAACTGAATACGATGTTTTTGCATGAAAAGTTATTTTATTYTCCAAARGAGAAYATTCCTTWYGTTTYGCTCCACAACATTCCCGCTGTAAAATTACTCCATTCTACATGGTATCATTACCTCCGATAGGAGATCCAAAACAGCTGGACACACCCACAGCACATGCTGCCGAYAGCATCTCTGTATTACGAGACTCATTCTAAAACACAAAGCAAACAACACAATGATCATCTGCAACTTTAGAAATACTTGTGCAAAAGATATCAACTGCTGCCTGGTTAGCTCAGCTGGCAGGGCGTCAGTCTGTTGGGCGGGAGGTCRTGGTTCAAGCCTYGGCTGGACCAACACTCAGKGTCTTAAAATAACTTYGGACAAGGTGCTGCCTTTGTGATTTTRTATACAAATGGTTAGACCTTCAAGTCTTATTARACAAGGACTTAWAGCTGTAGGCCCTGTCTGTYTTCACAAAATAACCCTGTAYAAGGCAGACGTAAAAGACCCACTGAAGACGCYGGTGAYGACCATCTTCAGTGCCTGTGCTAACACTACCAGGCCCACAGTAAATGGCTATGATGTTGTGTTGTCCCTWCCCTTATGGGAAAAACAAAATAAACTAAACTCTCCTGTTGATTCTCTTGTGTTCCAGTCTTTTTTCTTTGTGTTTATTCAAAATAATCATAGAAAGATAACCATGACTTACAGTGAATATTCCTTTAAATGAGCCAACAAACTTCCCCATAGATCTCGACACCATGCTCGCAATATGCACAAAAGGACCCTTGAAGTAAGATAAGCAGAAAAATGATATAAAATTTAACTTGGAATTAAATAAGATCAAATATATCTTTATAATTTCATTCAGGCACAAGGGTGGATCCAGAAATTGTTAAAAGTTGGGTCCAAACATTGACAGGGGGTCAAACATTGAGGGAAGTCCAAATGTATTTTTTTATGAAACTTACTTGAAACCAGTGGCAATCAATTGGACGTCACGCATGACAAAGGGCTCAGACCCCCTGCCCCTCGCCCCTGGATCTGCCATTAAGGCCCAATACAGTGCAATTTTGTTTTACATAATTAAACATTACAGCGYAAAGCTTACCTCTTTTCCTATGGGAATACTACTACCAAGAGCTGTYAACAGCCCAATCTTATAAACAATAAATAGAATATTTATAAATACAATACAGATGTATATAAAAACATAGTGCTGTCGTTATTTCTCTTCAAACTTACGATTTTGGCAATGAGTGTTTTTAGGGACAGGTATCTTGATAACGCTGTTCCTCTCAAGATCACTTTCATTTCTGGAATACCAGATCCTGTTCAAATGACCAGGACATTTTTCAGTGAGAAATGGGAAGTGAGAAGAAAAATAAATAGGAGAAAACTGGTAGAGAGTTATGATATGTGGGAAATGGGAAGTGGAATGATGGTAAAATGTAAAAGACAGAGAAAAACGCAAAAGATAAGAGAGCAAAACAGAAGGGTGTTGGGATAAGTGGGAAGTGGAGAGATGGTAAAATGGGAAGAAAAGAGTATAAGTCTACTGTACATACCTATAGCATGAGGTGATACAAGATGTGTAAATCCTACTGAGAATGTAACAAGGACCAAAGGGAATAGCACCCACACACAATACTGAGCTAACACACTACTGGACAAGCCATACAACCAGATGTGCGCTGAAAAATAAAAATACATAAATACATATCTATAACTGTCTTATTTKACTTACAAGCACAATACATTCACTAGCACAATGAAAACGAGTGGAGACATTTTTAAACAGGGGCCTATCATATTAGTATGGACAGCAAAAATGTAGGATGTATTATGTAGGCTTTTGAAAATGCTGATGTCATTGCAAATGAGGATATGTGTTTTTGAACATCTTACTGTGAATGCTTGAAAACACTAGCGTGAACATGAAACTTTGGATGCATTTTCATTGAAACATGGCTTAAGGTACAGTCAAGTGAAAAAGGAAAGACTAAGTATTACTAACACTAACCTGTTTGRCATTTATCAATTGCAAGGTCAAGAACAAAGCTGATCAAAGCCATTATGAGGCCAAGTAGAAGTAGGAATACCCAGTCACTGCCAAAATGAATCCAACATGGTTTCATACGGTGTATAAGCCCTTCAATACAGATAAAGTATTCACATTGTAATTCCAACCATTATCATAAGACATTATTCATTATACTCAATACTTGCATGTTAACTCACAGATTGGATTGGAAATTTATTTAGTATGTTTTGAAAACATAGGAAAACTGGAGGGCYCCCCAAAAAACTTGAATCAAATGAGACCCAACAAATGCTAACCACTTGGATGCCATGTTCAGGAGTTGAACACAAAAAATTCCCAGGGGCATAGCCAGAATTACATGTATGTCTTTAGGGGGAGTGGCGAGGATGCAAAACCTGTTTTAAGTCAAACTTATCATGTGCCTACATAGATGTTAGGTTTGTAAGTAGTAAGGATGTGGGAGGAGTGGGGGGGGACACCCTTGGCCCCCATGTCTATTGGCTATACCCCTGGACCCAGAGGTGTGAGGTGCATGAGTGAACTATATACTCTATACCACTTTTGTTTCTCACAAACTTAAACTAATAATTACATTATGTACAGTTATTAATTACATATAATAGAGATTTTACTTGTAAGCATACAATGTATAATATTATAATAAATATATGATATTTAAAATCAAAAAATTATATTCATCACTTGCATACTTTTTATTGCTCCTAGTCTTGAATCCTGATAAGATTTTAAATCATTATCATCATCATCTTTTKCTTCTTTCCTTTCCTTTGCTTCTCTCCTCAGTCTGGCTGCCTGATCCTTGGCATACTTCTGCAGATGAGTCGTCCTAAACTGGCCATACATCTATAAATATAGATATAGTATCATTAATTATTATTATTATTATTGTTATTATTATCATTATTATTATTGTTATTATTATCATTATTATTATTGTTATTATTATTATGCAGTTTATTAAACATCTGGACACGAGGCAAAGACACTCATAGGGCGCGTAAACGTAACCTACAGGTGTTCAAACTATTTACAATTTGATATGCTCAACGATAAAATATTTACAAATCTTACAATTATTTACGATATAATCAAACTATTTAGTAAATGCAGAACATAAGAANATTATTATTATGCAGTTTATTAAACATCTGGATACGAGGCAAAGACACTCATAGGGCGCGTAAACTTAACCTACAGGTGTTCAAACTATTTACAATTTGATATGCTCAACAATAAAATATTTACAAATCTTACAATTATTTACGATATAATCAAACTATTTAGTAAATGCAGAACATAAGAAGTACTTTAAAAATATATAAATATTATAAATATTCTTATCATTATTAAATATAACAATATTATTCTATTATAAATTTCTGATAATGTCATAAATTAGATTTAATGTCCACCAAAACTCTCTTTATTTTATGGCGATAAACCATTTTAAAACTAGGTATATWTTTTTGTTAGTACTGTCTTTAACATCTTTATTAGTTATTATCTTAAATTATATATTATCAAAATGACTTATTCCTTATCAATGTCCACTATTACTGCATAAATCATCCACAATTAAGCCTAAATCAGTATTAAAGAGTGTAGTACTCAAATTGCCATGGCTACGACAATCTAAAAAGTAACAATTTAACACAGTTGTTARCGATGTTTTTGTTTGTTTCTGATAAAAAATTTTCTTAGAAAATCCTACGAAGTAGCATGCACTGCTATAGCCTCTAAGAGTAGTTCATACCTAGRGTTAATGCTGGTTGGAGTCTTGATTGAAACACACATGTAAGTTGAGTTTGTTTGATGTGTTGTTCTCTCCCACAAGAGTTTTTCTCCGTTTTTTTTACTTTTCCTCCCTCCATAAAATTCAACATGTGAGTTGAGTGTTRTGTGTTGTAATAGGCCGATTTTTATTTACATTTTGTCCTCATTAGCATAAAAACAATTTCAAGCTACAAGCAAACTGACTCCAGAAATCGAAAGAGAAAGTGGTATGATTTACAAAGAAATGTATGGTCATGTGGCAAGCGTGTTTTCAAAAAACATTTACTCCCAAAATATTGAACATATTAATTACTTAAAAATTTTCAGTAGTTACTAAATAAGACATTTTCTTTCGATTTCTGGAGTCAGTTTGCTTGTAGCTTGAAATTGTTTTTATGCTAATGAGGAAAAAACGTAATTAAAGATCGGCCTATAACGAATGTAATGGTAGTGTGTGTGGAGAGAACCTCACAGGGAGTAATGGTTGTAAAATATACCGTATGTTTGTTATTTTAATTAAGAGTATAAATAAATCGATAATATCATATATAAATATATAATATATTTATACAGACTGAGTTCAAACTATAATTATTACTGTTCCATCCGTCACAATTTAGTCAATTTTTTATTGCTATTAATTTTGCTTCGTAATAATTTAACGTGATTACCAAGGYGAGACGAGCTATTGAAATATTTGCAATTAAATTTATGTTGTGATTTAACTTACGTTAATAAATAATACAGTATTAAACCTAAAGTTTAAAGGCAAAGAAAGCCATAGAAGGCTTAAATCTTTATTCATAAGGCACAAATTCAAATAAGGCACAAATTCAAATTTTGAGATAAAAATTCGTACAAAGACATAGATAAAATATAATAAAATAAAGAGATAACAACGAGAAGTTCCTTCGGTTAGTAGATGAAAAATATTAAAAACATATAGCAATAAAACAATACTTACAAGGGTCTGTTCAAAGCCATATTTGTCTGTATCTGTCATGGTAGCGTTTGAGGTATATCCTGTGGTGTTTTATTGGGGATATTTAATGGTTTTGTTCGAGAAAACGCGACTCAAAACTTCAAGAGTTTTTCAACATGGACGACTGGCAAACAGGAACCAACAGGACAGGAAGGCTGCTGACTAACACAGGGAGCCCAGTAGAAGCACTTCTCCACAACCTAAACTTGACTGAATCCGAATGTAATTTCCAGTGAGTTATAAAATACAAATTGGAAAGTGGGGCTAGAGAGAAAACTAGGCTTATTAGAATATAGCTTATAGGCGCTAAATCCCTTAGGTATAAATCAGAATCTTCGTTGCCATGGTAATCGCTAGGGAAGTCTCCTAATGCAATAAAGTCCTTTGTTCGACGTGTTTTCAAAACGTTTTTTTTTCTTCTTTTATTTATTTGAATTTTTTATTGTTTTTTAATCGTTTTTGTTGTTGTAGTTGTTGTTGCTTTGACTGAATGCTGAAATGCGAACATTGTCGAACTCCGGATACAAACAACCCGTAAGGCCACTGAGTTAATAAGCATAATGCATTATGGCCTAGCTTGGGTACAATAATCTATATTGCATTTTTACTAGAGCTAGACCACAACGCACAACTTTGACGAACTCAGAAAAAACTACTTTTTCGCGACAATCGATTCTTTTTATCCTTTGTACTCTAGAGCATCAGTCCTTACATGCTGAGGATCATGGGTAAATCTATTTTCACGTTGCTGCAAATACTTCTGCTTATTCTTTCTTTTCTTCTTTGTTTACAGTACGAGTCCCTCATCAGCCAAGAAGTATCTGCAGAAAATTTAAATCGCACGCAAGAAGGAAAAGTAAAAAAAAGAAAGAAGATCAATAATGAAATAATCACGATAATACTGGATGAAAGTGTTTGACTTTGGCTGTCAATGATGACATTCGTTTACCCTTCTTAGAAAACGTCAAACCTCAAAAAACATAAAGCTTGATACTCTGGTTACTTCACCGTCCACACACTCGATAGACCTCGTATATATGAAAGACACAAAAGTGCTAAAGCGTTTGATCATAGCTGTTGGTTGTTTTTATACTAAAGGTGCACTAACTATCTTCTCAATTTATTTTAAAAAATCACCTTGGGTTTTTGCTAAATTTCAGCATTTAAATTACTGGTTATAAATATAGAAATAAAAATTATAGGACAAAAGCTACAAATTCGGCGTAAAAACCCTTTTTCGATCCGGAAATCCACTACTCTGAAGTCCAGTCCAGTCCACTCATGGCCGGTTCCTAATTTTCCAAGAATAAAAAATCGCTCAAAATTCCGAATCTAGAAGCATAAATCAAATTTTGGATATTGGATATGTTTTTACTATACATTATCCTTATCCATACCCTTTCAAAAGCTAAAAATTTGATTTTTTTTTTTTTTTTTTTTTTTTTGCCATCTAAGAGTCCATTCGATGAAGGTCCAGTCCGGCAATTCTACACGATTCAACTTCTGAAATCTCTTTAAATGTAATACCCAAAAACGAAAAACCTTATTTTAGAGTTTCGGCATCTTTTATTCTAGGAAAAACTTGACTATATTTCCACAAGACGGTATATTCATGGACGGGAAAGAACACCAGATAGAGGCTGGGCATCATCACGTGATGGCAGCCATGACAGGAGGCAGGARCAATKGAATCTGGTCTAMTCKGAYTTACATRAGAAAGAATCTAGGWTCCCARRGGAGAAAGCTTGTATTGTTGTGCCTGGCCTTCTGTCATGGCTGCCATCACGTGATGGTGCAAAGCYTCTATGAGGTTGCAAATTTCTCCAAGATTTTTCTCTGAATCGGCATCTGACAGGTTAGTCCACAACAATGTGTCATATGGCTCTTTGTGAATGACCAACTTTATTAGCCATTCAGAGGATGAAAAAAAAAACTGGGTCTTTTTGGCATTGCAGTGCATTTTGGGGCTGTTTWGGGGACATATTGCCAAGATGGCGTTTATTTAGTAAGTAGTAATGCCAAAATGCGCTGTAATCCGAGTACCAACTCGACCCATACGTTAATAAATACCTTGAATCCAAGAAGGGGTGCAAGGGACAACGAATGCTTACCATAAGAAAAATCACGTGACACCAGATACATATCATTRAATTTTATTATTTACGAAATTATGCTCACGCTTTAATTTATGAAAATACATTAAGAAAACTCCTATTTAATTTATGTTCCAGAATTTAACATCCTATTAAATATAGTTTTATGAAAATTACTTTGAAATATCGATGAGTGTTCTATATATTGTTTGTGCAAAACTAGCTRCAGTGCAAAGTGCCTTTCCTTGTCCCTTGGGATCTGGAACCTTACGTGTATCTATCGATGTCATTCAATCCTAGAAATGTTTTTGGGGCTTGATTATTTGTCAAATCCCCTTGTCAAAATATGTCAACTAATAATTCTTAGTCTCTTGGTCGTGCCAATTGTGTTACTGCCGTGCATTATCCACATTTTTGTGTTATTTATTTATTCACTCATCAGTAATTCTTTATAATTCCTTTTTTTTTCTTCGACGAAAACAACTGGCCAGCGGTTTACGTTTTTCAAGGTAGATTTGCCTGTCCTTCAGTAATCATTAAACTTCGATTCGTCAACCTCACCGACACTTGACACTGAGTCAACATGTCTGRCGCCAGTATCCTCTTTCTAATTCTCTTTCTTCCCAGCAGAATTATTCTGRCTGTTCTCGTAGTTGCTCTCTTTTTTATAAATAACCATGTATTTTGATCTCATCATCAAGTCTTCTTCTTCAATTTTCAGCCATGTACTAACGAACCACACTCCAATGTAAGTATTTACGCATATCAATATAATCAACAGACCAAAMGTCGAAAAGAAAGTTGGCTGATAGGGAGATGCTGACAAATCATTGGCTCTCTCAACCATTTCAGTCTGAGCAACTGTGAAGGCGTCGTAGTTACCAACAATCGTCAAAAAGTGGAGAAAGTGGTGGCTATGGCCGAAGTAATCAAATAGGCCTGGGTACAAGCGCTCGGGGATTCTGAAGGCGTTTGTAAGCCCTGATATTGCATAGCAAAGAAAATGGCGATTGAAAAGATAGACAATAGATGAAGGACAAGAGGGGTCTCCAAACCCACAACGAGCTAGATAAGGAGAAATGTCGAAAAAAAACTTAAGTAAATACATGCAAGTACGTAAGAGGAAACGAYAGTTTTTAAAGCGGTGGCGAGAGAGGCAGCTTAGAAACATATTCAGACAGGCAAAGGACAATGATATTCCTAAAAACAAGTAAGGGAACTTGTGAACATCAATAGCATCCGTGTCAAGAGGACGGCAATAGAAAAAATTGTTTTGGCCTGCCGTGAAAGAAAAAATACTAATAGTAGCGTAATCAATGTAAAAGCAAGTGTGTCTGGCTTTCCAAGACATGCAGCAAAATAGATGAGCAAAAGCACTTGATAAAAACACCAAACAAATACCAAATGCAAAGCATATAAGTGGATAAATACTGGGATTACCGATGATATCCTGGGCAGCAAATATACTCCAGAAATACAACAGAAATGCGATAGATGCAAGTAAATGACTCCATATATTAACAGTCTCGTTATGGAGTGAGAAGAGTGTAGCAAGACATTGTTTAACGGTGATRCCATCTGTATCTCTATACCCTGATATTATGAAGGGCTCGCGGACGGATTCACACACTTCATGAGCAAGAAGTGAGTTGCTAACTTTACGATTAACTCTTTTTTCTCTTCGGCGTCGTGTGTCGTTTTCGTGGTTTCTATTAGAATCCATCGCTGTTTTATCGCTTGAGTTGTGTTTGGAGCTTCCAAAGTGACCCGTTACAGAAAAGTCTTTTTCCAGCTTGAACAWAACTTCTCATGAAGTAACTGAGGCTTGAAATTCTCCTCTATATCGCGTTTACAAAAGAATACTGTTTGCCCATAGATATATTCTTGTTGATGTTCACTTCGTCTGGAGTCTCAGCGTATGTTGATTTGYGATCAGCTGAAAACAATCCGTGGTTGTGTGACGTTGACTTCTGGTACCCAGTCAGTATTATAATCAGCATAATGTAATGCTTGATTGATCATATAAAGACCTTCAAAATCATAGTCAATTACTATATTCAAAATACAAGTGAAAATTCAACTATTTCACTGTCTCTTTTAAATTAACTTTCTTTCATTTATTCTTTATAATTCGTAAGAAAACAGCAGGAATCATTTCTCAAACGTATCACATATCAGATGAAAATGAAACAACCAAGTACTAAATACTGAATGACGGATAAAGATATTGGCATGAATTAATAATAGAATCCATTAGTAAAGCGCAATACTATACTTATAATGAGCTGACAGCACAACAGCTATTGTTGTGCTAATTATTCATTAAGCTGCGAATCATTCTGGCACAACTAAACTTGTTTGCGAAAAAGAGACGACAGTCCGTTTGCTGGTATAAGAAGTCAAT